GTCAAGCTAGTCAAAGTGATTTACACTTTTACAATTCATTGACTTTTTTCAAGCATTATGCACATTTGTGTTACCCAGAAAACCACGTTATTTCAGAAAAAGTGCACCAGATCGTTTTTCAGGCATTTGACCTTCATTTTTGACCTTTCCAAGGTCGCAAAAACAATTTTTTCACAAGTTTGATGTAAAATTTTCCGCTCTTTCGAAATCCGCAGTCAAAAATAGGGTGTCCCATTTTAAAAAACCATCGTGATCTTGAAATAACCTTCAAAATTGACCTCAAGGTCAAAACCAATGGTACAATTAAATGACCCCCTCTGCCCTGGTCAACTTTTATCTAAACCATTTTTTTGTAGATACCGTAATTTGTTAGATATTCGGGTTCATAGATTAAAATGACTCACCCTGTATAATAATAATAAAATTGTAAACATAATTAATTCACATAAAATATTAATGTATGTTATTTGCAAAGTATGTCGGTATGTTTCTATTATATATAAATTATGTATACTGAATAATTTTTCTTGATTAGAATAAATTATTTTGTATTTTCAATATTCTAAATAATTAAACATAAATTGCAAAATTCACAAATTTACATAACAAATATGATGTATCTTATGTTACGTCCACCCCTGATTATTTGAAGAGAGAGAGAAAGAAGGAAGATGGAGAGAGTATGGAAGGACGGTTGACTCAATCCGAGTCAATCTCACAGGTATACGCACGGAAGCGTACAGTTGTGAGTCGTTAGCACCCTTTTAAGTCCCGGAATGTGGGTCAACGTCCTGAAGGGACGCTATGACGCCTGTTCCGATGGACAGTGCGAACGTCGGTCCTACCTTTTAGATCAAGGAACTTAATCCTTTTGACCCGGGACTGGACCTTGTGCAATCTTAGGCGTTATAGGGAACGGGATACGAGTGAGGCGATTTAAAAATTAAATGCAACTTTATGATAGAAAACTAGAAACTTACTTTTATTCGTAAAAATTTAACTAATTTACATAACTAACTTAGGTTTTATTACAAATAGCCTTAATATTCGTGAATGAACGTGTATGCATCTTTTATTTTTACAAGATTTGAGTGCGTGTGTATGTGTGTGTGTGTTTGTGTGCGGAAGGGGAAGTGATTATCGGATATTAGTTGCGAGAAAGGTAGTGGAAGGGGTGGACAGGAGGGGGAGTTGGGAGTTGTTGATCAAAGGAAAGAGGAGGAGTTGGGAGTTGATCAAAAAGGG